AGAATTTAGCCTTTTCACTCACCTTCATGTTTTCTTCGTGTCAGTATTTTCAAGCATTTTTAAACTTCAATATTTTAAATTTTACACCAAATTATGGTAATTATGAAAGTTGGCAAAGAAATTGTTGATCCAAAATCATTAATTGCGCAATTAACTTGCTGTGATAGACAATTTTGGAAGACCCCAAATAGTGCTCATCTCGTTACAGGCAATGTAAAAGCTTTTCACGAATTTGACTCAAAAGCTATGACTGCATTTTCTTACATTTTAGATTGTGGTGGTTATATGACCTAATTCAAAAACTTGAAATAATTATACTTCGTCACGATAACTTTGAATACTTTTCTTATAACAAGATGTACTGCAAAGCATTTTAAGTCAACAGAGTTCACTTTGATCAGTCAATCAATATGAATCATACACTTTAATTTTTCCTTATACAAAGCATTGCATTTCTGGTTAATAATAGATTCAATTGGTTTTATTTATTAGGTCTCAAAGTTTTTCTAGCATAGGTATCAGTATATACCAATTGACTTTGAATACAGGCTTTTCGCATTCATTAAGGCAAAATCAATATGACAATTATTGATGTTCTAAGTGTCTCATATGTTTGAAATAACTAACAATATTTTGACTGCTTTTATGGTTATGTTATTTCCAGCCAATTATAAAATTTATGAACCAAAGTATTAACATTTCACATGCAAATTAGAAAGCTCTATACCTTTACATGATGACTCCTGTGATTCGCTTTCAGTAGATTTAGTTTCAACTGATTCCTCACTTCCTGGACACAAAATATTTAAAACGTGTTAAAATCATTGAATTAAAACTTTAAATATGCGAGTTAAAATCAAACTTTTTGGAAACGAATTAGATCCTATTTTTTAAGTTGGCCTCCACTTTATAAAGTTACCGTTAGAGAAAGGCGCTCGTTTAAACCGGTATGACTTTCTTGTCCAAGGATCTATTTCAGAGCAAAAGTAACCTTGCTTAACTTACTAAATTTGACTAAACAGTTATATTTAAAAGAGAGTTGCTCACCTTTGACCGACCCTACTGAAGAAGAAAAGTGTGGCCACCTTCCTAATTAAGTGATGGACAGTATGAACTAGATTAAGAATAGAAATTGAAGGTCAGTTAAAGGGACTTCTTCTTACCAATACTTCCTTTGCGATAAGGCCTGCGGTGTAGCAACATTTGTCTGTCTAAGTGAAATAAAACCAGAATAATTTAACTTTTAATTCAATTTGCTAGAATTTTTCACCGATAACGTTTCCTAAATTAAGTTCAATACCTACCAATGTGCGAGAAATATTTGAAAAGTGAATATATATTTAATAAAATGGCCTCATGCATAAAGTTTAGTTGAAATTTGTAATGATTGATTAAAATAAATGAACGTAAAATTTTTGATATCTGCAAAATGGTAAGTTTCACAAAATACAGAATAGAATTTATTGTTCATCATGAAGTACGTACATATGGATTGACCTTATCTTGGAATTGATTTTATAATACTTATAAATATAAATAAAGTGATGTAAATAGGTCTCATTTTTCACCTTTCAAATAATGTTCACATAATCACTACCCCAAATAAAATTATTAATATATGTTTGTAATCTGTTAAAGTGAGCATATAAATTTTGGTAAAATGTGCCAAGAGTAGGATTTAACTTATGAAATGAATGAATTTTAAAAACTTCTTCGGGATATGTGCATACCTTCTTTTACGCATTCATTTTCAAAATGAAGATTGAGCATCGTTCAAACTAATTAATACTTGGAATATCTTGAATGCATTTTAAACATTATTTATTTATTGCGTTAATTCAATATTTTAAGCCAAAATCTCTCCTTCATGATAATTTTTCGAATACTTCAAAATGACTCATTCTTACCTTTCTTTGGTTTTATCTTTTTCTCACAGACTCTTTCTTCCTGTGCATAAGATTTTGAAACTAAAATATTATTATTGTTAGTTTAAAACTAGTAACCCTTTTTTTAAAAAGTATTTATAATGGCAAACATATCTTACACTCAAATCTTTCTTTAATCAACTTTGCTGAAATCTTTCTTCCTTCAGGAAATTTGAAAGATTTACCTAATATACAAATAAAATGATTCAAATCCGTTCAGCCACACAGGGTTTGCTTAAAGCTGATGCAATATTCACCGCATTTAATAGCAAGGAAATTGTATAAATGGGAAATTAACTCACCGAATTCGATATGCATTGTCATCGCAAGTCCAAATCGATAAATATATGTTCTTCTTTAATGCCAAAATCCCGGCTTATATACCAAAAATTTCAATGATCTCATGACTTCTCGCACCGTCGGCTCGCCGTTTGAGCACGTGTTTATGAAACGAAATAGTGCATCAACAATATATCTCAGCTTTCTTCGAATTATGAAGCATTTCTTTATAAAAAACTGTTTAATAAATGTATTAAATGAGTATAAAATTTTAGTTATCCAGTGTGATTTAATTGGAGTATTAAGTATTTTAATACTTGCCGCAGTAACGATATTGTAGATCAAAACTTTATTATATATTGGCTTTATCTTGATGTATATTGCAGTGTATTACTATAGCTCAACGTTCTTTAATAAAAAGGATTTGTCATCTTTTACACACACATTGCCGAATAAAGCAATTTAAGTTCTAAAGTGCTCCGTAGATAAACAATGTAAAGAAATTTTAAACAAATAATAAAATTCAAAGCATTCCAACTCTTAAGAAAAATTGGCTGCATTAGGAAGATATTCTAGTCATACATGTGAATGCTTAAAATCACTCTGAATTTACATGCTGTTGACACAGTTTCAAGCTATTGAGCAGGCTTTATTCATTGCTTATCAATTAAGAATATTCATATTTGCCCCCAAAACATAAAACCAATCGCGAAGTTAGGGGAGATAGTCACTTTATTTCGCACACTTTTAAAGTGCACTTCAATATCCTCACTATTGCATTGTTCAAAGAGCGAACGAGTAAATCAGAGTGGACGAAGTATGGCAAGGCTTTCCAAATATCTCCTACTTATTATAGAAATCTGTATAATGAATTTGCTATCTTTCGTGCATTTTGTCAACTTATCCGCGCAAGTCTTTTGTGTTTCTTCTCTACCTTTACGAATTTCAGGTTGAAGATTATGTAGACCAAATTATCTTTTGCTAGGAGCAATATAGTAGAATCTGATAATTTCACAGAGCACCATTGAACCAGGGAAGATGAAGTAAATGCAGAAGTCCATTATATCAAAATATATTTTTTGGCATATTTAACACGATTTATTTTTACTTAAACACTGAAGCTTGAACTTAATTTAGTTTGGAAACAACACCTGGAACTTAAATTTGATGGAACATTCAAATTTAATATAAAATTGATCGCGCTAGAAGTGACTTCGAAATTTGACTTGAAATTAAAATCTGACTTAATTAAAGTTCAAACCATAAGAATTATTTTTAACATTTTTTAATAAAACGTGGAATAAAGTCGACAGAATCTCTACACTTTCATACTTTTATTCCATCACAAGGGGCTAATGAAATGCTAATACAATCATAAGAATTTTTGAGAATATAAAAGTACATTTCTAAGCAATTCAAACTACTCGCAAAAAATCTGTCTATGTTTGTCAGGTGTAAAATCACATGTCAAAATATTTTTGTACAATTTAGTATAAAAGAGAATAGCCTCGCGGATTGAACACTGTGGATTAGAAAAAAACTAGCCAACAATGAACAGATGTTTTGGAGCTGGTAAGTTTGATATTTTAATGAATAATTTACTTGATCATTAGTAACCACCTCTCTTTACATTTACTTGGTTACATTTTATTCTATGATACGGTTTGCTGTAATTTAACAATGCCATAGAAAAGGAAAAAAAGGTAATATAATTATATCGGTTGAAGGTGTCTCGTCTGAGATTGGGTTTATATTCGATGAAATCATAAGGAATATAAATATATATATATATATATATGCTTATATGTTTTTATTTATACATGGTGCAAAGGTTTACCATATAGGTATAAATATTACTTATGCTTGTCAAATGCGGAATCTGCAAACAGCAAAATTAAGGAAGATTAGTATAACTCGAAAAGTATTGATTATTTGCACTGCTTTTGAGCATTGAAATTAAAAATGATTTGGATATCTTTCTAACCAAATGTGGCAACCAGGAGGCATTAACTGGAGTTTAAATAGAGACTAAATAAACAGGAAGGAAAAGTGGAAGAAGAGTCAAAATTATGAATTTATTGTAAATTTTATTTTAAAATAAACTTTTCTTTCTTGCTCTTTTAAGAAAAAACAATTTGCCAACAGAACCAATGTGAAGGCCGTGATACTTCTAAGGATGGTGCTATTTTTGTGAGAAGAGGTATATTTCAAATATTTATTCGTTTATTTAAATTTCTAGTTGCAACTTGATTAAGTGGTGCTCAATTACAATTGTGTATCATGAAATATGAATATATTAGTCAATCATTATTCCATATGCTTTTTTAATTCTAGGGCAATCGGGAAATGCATGCAACAAAATGAATAACAGAAGATTTTTAGTTAAGGAAGACTTTAAAAGTGAGCATTTCACACAGTTAAGTGAGCTACACCCATCACTAATAGTGCAATTAACAAATTGGTCTCTTTGCCTTTTAAGCCAAAACTACTAAAGCTAAATCAAGTCGTGAATACGAGGAGTGTAAACCCAATAAACGTACGTCACCCTATATCTGCAAGATGCATGATTTTGTTAGACATGAATATCTCTCGATGCTTGAAACTTTTTTAGAACAAGATTTATCCATTGAATACGCACCTGAGAGGAAACCGCGGCGCATAGAAGGTTTCTATTCTGATTGATTACTTATTAATTGCAATTAAAATCATGTTCATTATGATATTTAATTTAATTAATATAATTGCGAGTTGCGTAATTCTTAGTTATATGTATCCATTTCTTTACACTCAACAGCAATGCCCCAAAATACTGCCCCACGTGTTCGTCAAGAAGCTGTTCGTCAAGAAGCTGTTCGTCAAGAAGCAGTCCGTAAGTGTATAAAACTTAAGTCTATATTTATTTTTATCAGTGAGAAATATAAATTTGCTTCTTTTGGAAATATGCTCGACCAATTTTGCAAATTATTATTATAGGCAAAGGTGTTTTTTCTAATATTTATTTCAAACAGCAGGCTTTATGATAGTTATCATTAGCCCTTTAGTTGACTTCATGCTTCACTAAAGGGAAGGAATATCAAAGTGAGACAAATTCGAGAATGGGGGGGGAGAACAAAAGAGTGTTTTAAAGATGTAAAAGAGACAGACACAAAGGTAGATGAAAGGTGATGTGTGTACTGTGGAAATGGGGTTATGATAGTTTGAACTCAAAAGTCAACTGCCGGTTTATAGACTTTTTTGCCGCATGAATATACGTCGCCCAGGGTGCACCATGTGGAGGTTAATCTATCGCACACCCCTTTTTTCTAATATTGTAACGTGTTTTTGTGTGGAGTATGAACAATGACCCAGCATACTTTCATGGCAGTTGGAAGCGAAATAAGGTAGATCTTTAGTTTTTTCTTTTGCGTCCCTACCAAACGCGGCTCGACTCAAATGTTTTTGTGTCTTGCTATTTGTCGCCTCTGATTGGGTGAATGTAGGGTGGTGGAGTGAATACTTAGCCCTAAACTATGGGAGGGATTTTGACACAAGGAGATTTCATTCCAGTCACTATAATGTTTTAGTCCAAAATGAAGTGGCTAACTCTAAATCGTAGAGCTAAATTAAATGGTAAATATTTCCATTGGAGTGCAGGTGTGTTAATATCCGAGTTAGTAAAATTAAAGCACATTCAATACATTTTCAAAAGCAATTAAAGAAATGCCCTAACTTTATAAAATATAAAACAGATTATAATATATTTATTGGCCCAAAAGTCTAAGTAAATTAAATCATTGCATTTAATTTAATTCGCCTTATTTTATCTCTTAGAGCAATTCCAGCCCTATATTTGCATGCCTGCATATGGTAATTGAAATGAATAGGTTTATTTACTTTTCCTTTTAACTAATATATTTATAAAAATAATTACCTTTTCATAGTTGAATATCAACAATACGCACCTCCTCAGCCAATGTTCCAACCCGTCTTCGGTAATGCTGTTAACGAAATTTATATTATTTCTTCTAAAAAAATAAAATTATGAAGTTCATTAAATCTACACTTGCAAATTTTGTATGATTGCAAATTTAGTGTTGGGTTTAATTTTTCCAGTTGAACAACAGCCACCTCAACCATATTTTATCATGCAACCAGTATACCAGCCAGTCCGAGGTTTGAATTTCATCATAAAATTGATTTATTTGCGACTGCCTTAATAGTAATTTGTTTTAATAATCTAATTTTCCGCTTTAATAAAATATAACAATGGAAATTAAAGAAACAAGCATCTGTACATGATGAGTGTAACCAAATGTGCGCAAATTAGATCAAAACATGTTTTTTGAAAATTTAGGTGAAACCCAGATGATCCAATCTTTCAACGAAATGGCTCCAGGTATAAGAAAACAATCTTTCACATAATTCATAATATGACTTAATATTTATAATTATAACGCAAATTTATTTGGAATTATTTTAAGCTGCTTTAAATCGGTCCGCATTCGTTATGCCAGAAAATGAACAATATAAATGTAAGCATTTATGTTTATCTTTGCAAAATATATTCTATAAATGAATTAAGTCCACCTAAATTTACTGAACTAATTTCGATCGTTATGATTAAATTTTAAGAATTTTGCTTCAAATAAATTAGTTTTTCTGAAAAAAATTAATATTCAAATTTTTTAATTGCGAAAACTTAGTTGACCACCAAAGCAACTACTCGTCCAACGACATGGTAGACGGTAATTCATTAACATTTTCATTTCTTTTGTAGAAATAAATATATTTGATTTTTCTTCAATTTTTCGAACTAATTGTGCAAAAATCGTAATTTTATTCATTTTTTTTCATTAAACGCATATTTTGCCTTCCTTATGGAGAAAAATTTCGTTAATACTAACTCATCATTTCTCATGCAATTTTACATTTCCATAATATTGTTGAATGGATATTTCTTGAACTTTCTCTGAAATGATTTTGAGTAAGTTAAAGAATAGCAATGGTTTATAGAAATTTAAGCATGTATGTTGCATAGTTGTAAATCTCAACAACGTCATTATAAGCGTAAGTTAACCGTGAAAAGTCAAATACTAGGCGAATTTCAGTGCAATAAATACTACCGTAGACACCGCAAACTTTATAAGCAGTTTCCTTTTGAAATTCATGGATTTCTTACGTTGCTTTCTAACAGCAGTGCATGAAAATCAATCCTCCTTTGGCTCTATGAAACCAAACGCCAGTGAAATTGCTAATTCTGACAAAATTACGGACGAAGATACTATAGGTATTGTAAAACACTATTGTGCCTCTCATTGGCTTCTAATCTGTAAAATCTAAAAAAAAACATTTTATAGTTGCTCCGCAACGTAAAGAACCAAGTGGCCCAGGAGTTTACGTTGAAACAACAAGTAAAGAGAACGCTTCATTTATAATTACATTGAAACTATAGAGTGAATAGAGTATTGTTTTAATACTTCAAAATGATTTTTATAGCCAAGTGCTACCAATGTGAACCAGATGGACCAGTGACCTGTGAAGAAATCACAGGTAAATTAATCACTCAATCGATATTGACCAAAGACTATAAGCTTCTTTTGAATCATAATAGATACTTAAGATATACATTAAATAAGCTTTCCAAATTAAGCAAAAAATACGTTTTATTTAAATTTCAAAATATTTTATAGTTGAATGTTGCCAAAACTCACCCGAAGGACCAGTTACCTGCCAAGAAACAAAGGGTAATGTAACGTTTAATTAAAGTTCAAATGCAAATTTGGAATTAAAAATGAATCTATTAAATAATGCTTAAATAAGTATGTCTAATGTTTTATCTATTATTTAAATTGTTTACACAAAACTTTTTTCAGTTGAATGCATTCAAAGGGAGTCAGATGGACCCTTAGTATGCACAGGTAACAAAATTTGTCGACACTAATAGAAAAAAATCTTGTTTTAATTTTGATGAATAGTTTAATTGATTACTAAATTTAACTTTGTAAATTTGGCCCACATAAGTAGAAATTTAGCTAATATACATATTTATTCTAAATTTCAAAATTTACAAAACTCAGCTAATTGTTACATCATTTTGTTAGACACATGTAATACAATCAACACCCCGGCACCACAATCAGGTAGGGTTCAATGTCATACCATTAAATATATTTCCAAAATATTACAATTTCTTTTGGCCAATTTTATTAGTACATTAATTAAAGCCAGATAAAGTTGATACAATTTAACAAGCATTTAGTTAGAAAAGTAAAATAATACCTGCGTTCTACGTTTCTTTCAGTGGAAAAGAACCAAAGTGTGACTGACTTTGGAAATAGAAAACTTGAAGGTATTTGTAAATAAAAATATGTATTGGTTAAGCGCCTGGCCTATTTTAAATAAATATTAATTTCCCAGCTGAATACTCTCAACCAAATGGATGTAGCACAGTTACCTTCGGACAAACCAACGGTAAAAGGCAATCTCTAAAATGATACAAAAAACATTTTCTTTTAATTGTCATAAAGTACTTTTAATAAATAGTTACTTAGAAAAATAAAATAATGCCTGCGTTCTGCGTTTCTTTCAGTGGAAAAGAACCAATGTGGGACTGACCTTGTAAATAGAAAAATTGAAGGTATTTGTAAATAAAAATATGTATTGGTTAAGCCTCTGGCCTATTTTAAATAAATTTTAATTTCCCAGCTGAATACTCTCAACCAAATGGATGTAGCACAGTTACCTTCGGACAAACCAAAGGTAAAAGGCCGCCTCTATAATAATACTAAAGAAAAAAATTTCATTTCATTGTCATAAAAGCACTTTTAATAAATATTTACTAAGAAAAATAAAATAATGCCTGCGTTTTTCTTTTCCTTCAGCGGAAAAGAACCAAAGTGAAACTGACTTTGGAAATAGAAAAATTGAAGGTATTTGTAAATTTAAATAAGTATTGGTTAAACATCTGGTCTATTTTAAATAAATATTAATTCCCCAGCTGAATACGCTCAACCACAAGGATATGGCTCAGTAGCCTTCAGACAAACCAAAGGTAAAAGGCCGCCTTTATAATAATACTAAAGAAATAATTTCATATCATTGTCATAAAAGTGCATTTTAAACTGAGCATTAATTAAATTATGATTCTAACCCTTTAGATGACCAAATGCAAACGACACAGAATCTGATTCTTAGATGTACCGTTGAGAAAGAAAATTTTCCACAGAAATCGCCATCAATTGGCAGAAACATCACTGGCTACGATTCATCTTCTTCATCATCTTCTTCCTCTTCTTCGTCATCCTCGTCATCTTCTTCATCGTCATCATCATCGTCATCATCGTCGTCTTCCTCCTCATCATCTTCTTCATCCTCATCGTCTACATCATCATCATCGTCTTCCTCACGATCTTCTTCTACTTGTACTTTAAGATCAGCACGTTCAAATGGTTCCCCCAACGGTTAGTAATTTATTTTCTTATTTAATATAGTGTTGCCTCTATTTATTTTTGAATGAAATAATGAAAATGTGGTTTCGTTAGCATTAGTAAATAGGACTCATTTGAATGAAGAAAATTACTAAAGTAAAATTAAATTAAAAAAATTATTTATCCAAAGCAAACTAGAATACAAAAATTGGAAATGTAGTATAATAGAAAGTGGAATTATGACCAAAGTGTACTAATTAGCATTTTGTATTTAAATTAAATTTAAATTTAAATTAGTGCAACTATTTTTATAGATGGCGTTTTCTGTGAGACCGCTGGTTTCTTAGTTAAATGCATTAACAAACATGATGAAATGGGTATGTTTTATTATTTTAGCCATTTAAAACATTACATCATTGATTATCTGTTCCCGATGAAATATTTATGCCTCTAATTATCATTAAATTGTACATTTCTTTAGCTGACTACCAATCAGAAATACCTTATGAGGCAATTTTTGAAGCTCTTCCAGGCATGTTTACATTAATTTACTATTTCTGTCTTACCTTTCTAAAATCAAAATAATAATTATTTTAAATTTATTACAATTAGTGGAGTGTCGGGAAGAATTGACAGGAAAAGAGGCTAAAAGTAATCGATTTTATTTAAAATTATAAAACTATCAAATGCTTCAAGCACATTTTTCTAAAAAAGCAATTCTTCTATTTTAGTCGAAATTCACCCAGTTGTGCAAAGTAATTATTGTTGAATGTCTAAACCACTGTTCTATTTAACTTCTACTCCGTTCATAAATTGCACTTTAAATTTAGATGTGTTCCAACCATGCACGTCTTGTTTACAAATCTGCAATGCTGTTCCAGGTAAAACATTTGATTATAGTATATTTGCTCTATTTGAAGTTGGCATGTACCTTTAATCTTATACTTTTGAAGAAAAATTAATTGGGCGAATTCTCAAAGAGAAATATATTTTAATCAGACTCCAAGACCATTAATCAGAAGTGGGTACACAATTTAAAGAATAAGATCTTCTGTGCATAAATAGAATTTTTCTATATTTTTATTTTTTAAAATTTCTAATGAATTCATTTGTAAGTTTTAGTTAGATATTGGTATATCATGATGACCTAACTGCTAAATCTCCTTAAAAATAAAGAAAACTTCCAAACATATATATAAGGCTTGTTCTATAACTTAACACTAACTTATCGAAAGTCGCTTCACAAAATTGCAGCCTGTGAAATAAGAACCCATTATCTAACATCAGAACTTGAGTTCTGTGGACTTGAATCACATTTGTTGTCCAATAGAAACGCTTGACCTCCAGATTTCCAGAATGATCCATAGGAAATGAATAGGAAACTAGGTTTTTGGCATTTCGATTCTTTGAAATATCGCATGCAATATTGTAGATTTTAATTGATGAATGGATTTTGAATAAAATGCCTTTATTATCTATAGTTGAGAAGCGCCAATATATAAAGGAGATCATTGTCGTTAATTACGAAACTTCTGATTCCAAAAACCCCTCCTCTACCGGCCGAAGTTCGTCGCCTGTCCCATCACAAAGCTTAGGTAACCATCATCTTTAAACTATTACTTACCTTCAAGAAACTAATGAAACATGTTTAAGGATTTTCAGTGGAAGCTAAAATTCTATGCATGTATATTTCTTATACTTACACCACAGAAGTGGCCAATATACCTTAAATTGGCTGATATGGATTCTCTCGGATATAGTTACCCATCCCTGATTTAAGAAACTGAAAACGGTGCATAGGAAAGAACATATATTGACATAAATTAGTACTTTCAAGCTCACCTTAGAAAACAGCTATCCTTTGAATGTCTTTTAAAAGAATTAAGGAATTTCAATAACATTTCTATAAGACGTAAAAAGCAAAGATATTGAACATGTTACATCTTTTGTCACCAATCAATTGTTTAAAATTAGAGATTAAATTAGAAATATAGGATTAGGCAGATTGCAACAGATTGGAATCTTCTAAGCCTTCTAGTTCCTCATCCAAACTTGGTTCATTTAATGGTAAATGGATTGTTTTTTATATTAAAAAGTTATCAAAATTTATGAATATAAATATAAATCATATTCTATTGTCTTAGTTTATTGAGTTTGTTCTCGCTCTAAGAAGCTGCTTAAAAGCATTCTACTAATTTTTATAAGTAACAAAATATTTAAACAATTTTGAATGTTTGAATACATCTTCATTGTTTTTGTATAACTGTTGTATGTGGTGCTTTTTCTATTTCTTTTGAAAATTTAATGATTTTAGCACTTTTATCATGTTTGTAAATACTAATAAATATAAAGAACTTGTAGATGACCAATGCAAAGACGATAACGTTTACCTCAGAAAAAGGAAGGTCAAGAAGGATAGCAAAAGTGGTACGTTAATTGTTCTATCAACCACAGTACCAAGTCTTATTTTAAGTTTCGTGTGTGACAGGTGGAATAAATTAGAACAAAAAATATCGTAACTTTAGTCACCCAGTATATAATTTATATCTTACGTAGGGTAATGGCCTAATTTCTAGCGTGTCATTTGATGGACACTGGCCATATTAAGAAAAGCAAAGTTTTAGTATATCAAACCACTCAGAATTTATAATTATCATGCTGTCGATTTGTCCCGATATCATCAACATTGTGCTCAAGTGGTAGATTCTAAATGCATTCGACATACTGAAAAATGAGCATTTGAGGGCTCAGAAAATTCAAAGGAAAAAAATCTTTGTATTCTTCATTTTCTACACCATCGCAGTAAACTTAAAATTACTACTTGTTGTAGGTAAGGAGAACAGGAAATGCGATGATTCCGTGCGCAAGAAGGTTGAAAAAAAGAAACACCGAGGTATATACACCGTTTATTTGGTCTCCTATTTTCCTCTTAATGTTATATGCCATGTGATTATACTCATGTTTCTTTAATTCTGGTAGACTACAAATGCAAAAAATCAGATGAAAAGAAGAAAGATATAGCTAAAGTCTGCAAATATCAAAAAGTTAAAGGAAAGAAACCACGAGGTAATGTAAACAACAAAATATTGGGAACCAGGTTTATAATTGACATGATTAAGACAAATAGATTTATCTGAGTTAATTTTCTACCAAAATTAAAGAATTGTGTAATAAAAAACTCATAAACGAGATCATAGCGTGGCAATTTTGGCATTAAAGAATATAGTGTAACCCAGGCATGTAACTGAGTAAATCTCACTATATAGGTTTAAAGGTCATGTGCAACAAATCAATTAATAGTTTAAGACCATAGGATGGTACCTGTGAAGAACAGAGTGAAGTGATACTAACAAGTTGGTCAAGATAACCTTTCAGGCCAATTGAAAGCAAATAATTTCATTGGTGGTCGTCTTCTTCTATCTTCTGCTTTCTATCTATGATGATATAATTAAATGATCTGTTATTGCACCATTCGGAATTAGATGAATGCGATAAGAACCAAAATACCGGAAATGATTTGCCATTGAAGCTGTCTTAAAGAAATTTAATTATATTGCCGATTTACAGAGAATTTTGATAATTTTTTCATTCAATTTTGTTTCAAAACTATTTCACCAAAATTGGGGTGAATTAAACACTTTTGAGCCTTTGAAAGTCCATGAAGAAATAAAGTGTGACCAAACAACCTCTTAATTTTTTAAAGTTGAGTTAAACACTCATTTGAAATAAAAATTAACAATATTTTGTTTTAAATTTTAGATAGGTGCTCCCATTAATCAAGCGAGAATTAGAATTGCAAAGTAGTTGAATTTCTTTGAAATTTAAACCGTCTAAATCTTAGTTCAAGATGCTTAATTTTCTATTTTTCTTTTCAGATGCACTTAGTAAATTACTACACTTAAACGAAATTTTCAATAAAATACGTAGTTGCCACATACTTTTTGCTTCTCTTTTTAATAAAATGTGTCCAAATGTGTCGTTTTACATCGACCTAGAAAATTGCTCTAACACGTGGTCATTAAAATAACCGGAGGAAACTGAACGAGATCTGTTTCGGTTATTCTTAAAAGTTGTTGGTAATATTAAGAAAAGACGCTTAAAGTATATCGCTCTGCTTGAATTTGAATAAACAACATAAGTTAAGTAATCCTTTTTCACAGAAGTTGCATCTGTTATGACTTAAATTTAAGTGAATTTCTTATAGTTATCCTTAAAATAACTCACTTGAATACTGATGTTTAAGGCGACGTTGCTAGTTTTGATATATTTCTTTTAAACTTGACAAATTCAAATAACTTGTGATAGAGTGACTACCTAGAGTAATGAGTGATAGGTCAACAAGTTTTATATTTTATGAACATAACCTCACTCACAAATAGAGGAACGAATACATGAACTTCAAACACTCAGTTAATGACTGTTCTTTAAAAAACAATTCTCTTGATGCCTCTAATAAAAAGGATTTTTTCCTGTTTCCCTACCATTTTTAAAATCTTATTTGACTAGTTTTTACCTTCCATAATTGAATACATTCGACTGATTAAAACTATTAATAGTTTTGTGTGGGTGTAGACAATACAAAAAAATAAAGATCGCTTGATGTCTTGCAAATTGAGAAAAATAATAAAATTACATATTTCCTGCACTGAATTATCTAATGAATGACTTTAATGAATGATGCCTACTCAATTATTTATACCTAATTTGGATTTATCAATGAAAGAATCTTTGAATTAAATCGGGAAATTCACCAAATTACAAAGAATATTATTTCCAAAAAAATTGCAGAAGCGTTAAGTAATAAATAAAAGATGTGATTGTCTGCTATAGCATAGGCCTTTTACATTATGGTAAGGATAACCTGTCAGTTTGATTAACCATAGAAATAGCTCTTAAATGATTCTATCTAAATAGTAGATAGGACTACATATCTGTTCAAAATATCACTTCTATCGCAATCTTAATAAAGGTTTAGAAAGTGTAATGCGATTAATGACGATATGATGAGGAAATGTTAGCACGAGATTACATGATCGGAAATATTATTAGGCTAAACTGAACAACGAAGTGTTTTTAAACAGGATGGATGTAATAATCACACTATAATCATAATCCTGTATTTTATAAATTTATAAAACATGTTATCGGCACTTATTAAGTATAAATGACATATTGGCCTTTAAGTCTGCTCGAAATACAATGTATTTATTAAAATATGAGCATTAAATGTTTAATTTTAGAAGCTGTTTAACTAATCAACATTAAGGAAATAAGAATTTGACCCAAATTCGTCTAAAGATATGATAAAACATAATTGTGTTAAAAAAGAACATTTGAAAAATTAGTTTATAAGGTAAAAAAAATATTTTAAATTTTTTTAGTGAAGTATTATTCATATCTCAATTATTGGAAGAGAGGTTGAATATTTAAATCTCAGCAGACAAGCATGTTAAATTATTAGAAGAATACTATGTGCATGAAAATAAATTTCTATTTATTTTTGAAATTTTTAAAAGATTGAAAAAGTTTGTTCGTCTGCTTTTATTAATGCAGCTTTTATCACTAGTAAATATAAAAATACTAGGTTTGTATTTTAAATTCAATTGAAGACTGAAAGCAGTGATTGAGAAGTGAAGAGCGGAATAGAAAGTGGAATAATAATTTTTTAGTGTATTGAACATCAAATTTATCGATTTTGTTCCTCTTGTTGAAAAATCCAGATCCTGCAGGTGTGCATAAAGTAATGATTCTGATTTAAAAATATTCATTATTTATTTATATCAAATGGCAGGGGTTTTGATAGTTATCATTAGCCTTTTAATTGATTTCAGGTTTCACAGGGAGGAGGAGGAACATCAAAGTGACAAAAAGTTGAGAGGGGTAGGAGGAGGAACATCAAAGTGACAAAAAGTCGAGATGGGGACTATCATTAGCCCTTTAGTTGACTTCGTGCTTCACAGAAGCAATTTAGCTGACTTTGGGCTTCACAGAGAGGAGGAGGAGATTAAAAAGAATGATTCCCAGACGTAAAAGAGACAGACAGACACAAAGGCATGGAATAGTTAAGATGAGTACTGTGAAAGAGGTCGAAGATGGCAAAAGTCGGGTCATAGTAGTTTGAAATCAGAAATCAACTGTCGATAAATAGACTTTTTACCGTATGAATATACATTGTCCAGGGTGCACCACGTGGAGATATGCCTATTGCGCCCCCTTGATTTAAAAATTAGGGGCTAGTCTAGGAAAGATCGTTATTACTTCGTTGGTAGTTGGT